ATATATATATATGTTTATTTTCTGCTTACTTTTCTATATGATCATTACTAATGTTTAATTACGTGAGAATTCTTTTGTCATGTCTTACGAAAATTTTTTAGGTTACAATAACTTACAACTATCAAGCTGGGTACTTAACACAGCACGAAGACAAGGAAGTGAAAATTATAGACTTGGATGCTCACGGAACAGCCATATTCGGTCTTCAACCTCCAATAAATTGCAGCAGTGCGCGAGTTGAAGTGACTATTTATTTTATTTAAAAGAGTTAATTATTTAAGTTAAAATGTTGCATTACTATGACTGCAATTATCGATATTGTATAAAATGAATAAATTAAGGCTTATTATGACCGATCTGGAAAAGATGAGTTCAAAGATGCAAGTATTTACTCGATTCTTTACTTAGAAGCTAGCAAGAGTCCCTCAAATAGCTTTCTTCAATTAATTGCTGACCAGGGAGGAGTTGTCGATGTTGGAAAGATGCTATCATTTACAGTCAAAGCTACAGAACCATTATCAACTATCACTTATCAGGTAATATCATTTATTGATTATCAAAAATCATTGAAAATGCATACATTATTATTTGAGATTTTGAGTTCTTGCGTAATTTCATTCAACCAATATAGAACTTTAATGTAAAAACCAAATAATAGGCCGGTCTTGAAATGAATTTTTCGTATTTATTCAAGAACTTTAAGCGCGAGATGTTGTTGATTGCTGCTTATAATATTTAAGTATACTTATATTCTACTAAAAATTTTGATTAAAAAATGTCTCCTACTAACGTTATAACTCATATTAACAAAGTTATTAGACTGGGAGAGGACTTCAGAATTTTATAAATATGATTCATATCAGTGCTTATGAAAGCAGCTCAATTTCAGGTCATTGCTCGTGGATCTGTAATTTTGGTTCAAAATATGGCAGTCAACGGAGATTTAGCAACGATTACATTTACAGCAACATCTCAGATGGCACCGAAAGCTCGTTTGGTAGTTTATACAATTCGATCATCAAATCAAGAAATTTTAGTTGATGCAACTGATTTTCGGGTCGATGGTGTTTTTCGAAATAATGTAAGTGATTATGAAGTATGTCAAATTTAGATCAGATCTCTGAGAATGATTGAAGATTTTGAGTTGAAAAATTAGCCTGAAAGAAAGGAAATAAAAATTTGAAGTGATAAAATCAAAAGATAAAAATATATCATTCAGGTATCACTCACTGCAGACCGCAGTATGGCAGAGCCTGGTGCATCTGTAAAGTATACGATAAAAGCTGATCCAGATTCTTACTGTGCTTTGCTTGCAGTAGACCAAAGTGTTCTACTTTTAAAATCAGGCAATGACATCACCAAAGATTTAGTTAATCTTTCGTATTATTTTTAATGTAATCATATCTTATCAGTTTATACTTTAGTTTAAAGTAAATGCAATTTTTGATTGATAAATTATATTGTTTAAAAATTAGTTAAATATAAAATTTTTTCTATTTCAAACTACTGAAAGTATTTTTTTTAAATAATAAGCATAGAAGATTATTTGGCACTGAAATAAATAACTTTTTTGCATCTAAATTTTTAAAAATTGTTCACAAATTTGTATTCAAATTTCGTAAAGTATTTGCATAAAAATTAACATTTTAAACTTAAGATTTTAGGTAGAACATGATGTAGAACAATATGATACAACTAGTAGCAGATATGGTTCTCGACTTTTTGAAGGACCATTTAAACGCTGGAAGCGTTCAATTTGGTACCCTTGGTGGGGTGTTGGTGGTAGAGATGCAGCAACAATTTTTGAAGTTATTTTTATCGTATCTTCAAACTTTCATTTGTGAAATTAAGAATCCAGATTCTTACTTATTAAATTAAATTTATTTCTGATTTAATGCAATTTCTGATTTGAGTCCAGAAAAAGTAAGTAAAGAAATTTACAGAATTCTGGCTTGGTTGTATTGACTGATGCTCTTCTCTATCAATCGTTGGATATTGTTGGTAAGTATTTGTATATGAATTTTAGCATCGTTTTTGTAATATTCAGTAATTAAAATCAAGACACGTAATGCGGGCACTCTTTAAGTGTATGTCATCACACGTACGTTAGTCTCGATAATTAATACTAATGTATTGAATTTTTACGCATGTTAAATAATGATAGTATTATAAAGTCTCGAAAATAAATCCAAGGCAAGAACGAGATGCATGCTGCTGTTCATTGCACCAATATTTTATGATATTTTTTCAAAAAAATATTAATAAGATCTGATAAATGTTTCCAAAAATGATAAAAAAGTCTTTAAATAAATCAGTTTTCCTTTTCATATTAATAATTTTAAATTTTAAAGCTTTTTATTCACTCTTTGCAATTTTAATAAATTAAAATCTGAACATGTGATATCTGATCATATCAATTGAACTAATCAAATCTTTAGTAAAATGATATAACTTTCCTATTATATAGTACAGAAAGACGATCTGTTTATTTTTTTCAAACGATCAGTTCACTTTATAATACTATTTTGCCCCATGCAATTGAAAAGTATTCAAGTTTAATATAATTCATTCTTTTTTTAAACTTAACAAATTTATTATATTATAATTCATTAGTTTTGGTAGTTCATTGCTTCAATTATGTAATTAGTGCTATTAACACCATTAATATTACCATACAACCTTGTTGTGGTAGTGCGAAAAATTCGCTTGCATTTTCTTGATGCTAAAAGTTGAATTTAGAACATTTAATAAACAAAATTTATGCAAATTTTACAAAAAATAAGCATTTTTGGCATAAATAATTTTATTTCTTATATTCTTTTACATTTATTTTTGCATAAAGCATTCATTAAGCAATAATATTCGATGTTTTTATTTTTGATATTACTAAATATTTTTAATTTGCATCTGCCTGCTAACATCATGCAAAACTAGCGTAATAATATTATATCAGTATTAAATTTTGTTTTTAGTATTAATGTTTGTATTGTCGTTTATATTTACACTGTAACTTATTTTTTACATTTTGTTATCAGTCTTTGGTGCTAGCAACTAATAGTTATTTAATTTGAAAGTTATGACTATTACTAGTAGAATTTTTAATTCACACTTAGTTATGAGCATTTATTTGAATCTCAACCAATTTTTAATATTATATTTCAACAAAAAACAATGGAAAGCAATTTTTTGCAAGTAAAAATTGAAAATATTCGAATGTAAATTGGGTGGAGAATATTTGAATTTAAATATGATTAGTGGCAAGTAGAAGGCAGGTGATATTTCAGAAATGATAACAGTGTCATTAGCATCATCAGCACAGTTACCATCACCTACAAGAATACGAAGGCATTTCTCAGAATCCTGGATTTGGATTTCTGCTTTCGTGCCAGAGTAAGATATGCATGCATATGTTTATGCAAAGTTATCAAAACAAAAACTAAATAGTTCAGTAACTGATCTGATTTCATATATAATACAAATATTGCTATCTGTTTAAGATTTAGTTCAAAATTTCATTTACTATAGGATTACAAGCTGCAAGATCACAATCTCAAATTACGATATAAATAACTTTACATGATACAGTTTTGGTCAGCATCTAGGCTGACCGGTAAATTGATAAATTCAAGCGAAAATTTGAAAAATTATTAGAGAATTAACAAAGAGACTTACAATTTGATTTTTAATAGAGATAAAATGTGTTTATAGCTACAGACAACCACTTATGTTATTAATTATGATTGACCATAACTTTTTGACCATTCGTTACTGCCATTTATGATTAATTGCAAACACTAAAATAGTCAATCTGGACTCATAAAAGACATTTTTAAATATTTTCAGATGAAAGTTTAGCAACTGAAAAAGACTTACATTCAAATTTTTTGCTATTTATGATTTGAAAGAGTTAATGATTCTTGTCAATGTTTAAATTATCAACATCCCACTCAGCTTCTTACTTCTTTATTTATGAAAGATTAACAACTTTTTCAAATAACTTTTATTATTTTTTATTAATTTTTCAGCTGGCACAAAGCTTTCAGTAGAGAACGTAACAATTGTTGAGACAGTTATCCCTTCAAGCCTTATTTTTTCCTGATTATTAACTTTCCTTCTTCCATTATTTATTATTTATTCATAAAAAACATATTATTTTTGAATGCTTCTAATAGCATATTTTAATTTTCAAATGCTCAATGTAGTTCTTTAATTAAAAAAAAATCTATATCATAACTTTTTCGACAAAGTGCTTTTATTCTAATGGCAAAGTATTATTTGTTGCTATTGTTTTCCAAGTCTTCGTCACTTATAAGCCAAGCTAATTAAATTACAGTGTCAAAAACACCTGTCCATATTTGTATTAATCCTTATCAATATAAGATATGTCAATTAAAGCAAATTTGATATTCAAGTCCTTTATAGAAAGTTTATTTAAAATATTTTGCATAAAATTTCACCAACACTCTTCTAATTTATAATTTTTTTAAAAATTATAAGTGTTTTGTAGAACGCTATGCTTTTTAAGTTTTTTAATCAAAATTTTTAAAATCTGATAAATTTATTGTTTTTCAAATCATACAATTTTAATAAGAATTTTAAATCAGGTACTTGCAATTTTAATAAAGACTTCGGAAAATCATAAAATAAAAATTAACTTTATCACTGACATATATAACAAACAGTAAATATACTTATCTTCGATTAAAATACAATTCATAAGTATTTTTGATCAGATTTCAAATTTCAAATTACTGCTCGTAGTGTGTCAGTATGAGTCACGTATTTAAGATTGTTGTTTTGGTACTGGTGGCACAAGTCCGTTGAAATACGCAGTTCTTGAAGATATTTCAGAATTTGGCATGAGTGTTGCAGATGCAAGCAAGCTAGAGGTAGCACGAATAAGGAAGAATTTTGCAGATATTTGGATATGGGATTTGGCTTTGACTGCAAAGTGAGACTTATCATTAACTCTTTTAAATCATTTGCTCATTCGTACGTATTAACTCGCAAAAAATACCTACCAGAAAGTAATCATACCAAATTTAACTATGTCAAAGTTATGCATTTTGCATGAATCAACTTTTTACTACACTAACTTTGTTTATGTTTTGTTCAATATTATTTTCGATGGGCACTAAAGAGTTTAGTGGTTTGATTTTGCTGTGATGTGTGAATATGTTGATTGCTTACTTAAGTAATCAAAGAAAATAAATTAGATATATATTTGTGAATTAATTCAAAAATTAGATTAGTCTGCTAAAGTTTTAAAATATATCTGTAAGGAAAAAATTGTACTGAAATTTTGACAGACTAAAAAGTACTAAATAAATTTCTGAAATGTTTGGTAATATTTCTGAAATAGTTGAGGAAAGAATGCAATCAGTTATACATATTTTCTCTTTCTTCGTTATTATTTAATAGTAAGTAATAGATTTTCAACTTTTAAGTACTAATTAACAGCCTGAATGAATACATCAGTAATAAAGAATCTACCATATTTGCTAACGATTTATTGTTGAATATTTTTATAAAATAATTTTTTTGGAAAAATTGCTTTACAAATGATTTTTTATCAGTACTTTTCTGTACAGTACTGGAAAAAACTTTTGCATGTAATTATTGCGCAAGCATTGAGAGTGATTTGTTACTAACTTTGTTTTAATTTCACAAAGTCTGTACTCGTTTTGGTATTAGTCTAAGATGAATAATTCTCAAATATTATTGCTCTTAGAAACTAAAAACTCTGAAAAATATTAATGGTAGAGAGATGTGGCAAAAGTAGATTGATTATGCGCTGTGTGTTTACTTTTTATATCCAAATCATTTATATCTTAATCTTTTATCATGATTACTGCCTGAGTTAATTTAATCACAAACAATTATTTAAATTATATATTGATTATATCACTGATTTTTTAGACTTTTTGTTGGCATAAATAAAATTATACTTTATTACAATTTAGAATTCTCCATTTTCACTAGTAAGCCATTTTTTCTCAGAAATTATTTCTTTCTGTGTATGCAAGCATCAAGATCTCGTTCTTGACCTTTATTATTCTTATTCGTAACCCTTACAACTTACTACCAATATTATCTTCCTTCTTTGACATTCCAGTATATCTATTATTACTACGATAATAATTATAATAATAATTATTATAAATATTATTGCTAGCTCTGATGTTATTAATATTATTTTTCCTATCATAATTCGTATATTAGTTAAAATCATTTTTGTATATTAGCTTCAGTGAACCTTGAAATTAATTTATTTTTTTTCTTTCAAAATATTTTAGTGAGTCTCGAAAATGGACGACGATATGTGCCCGCAGTTGCATATGCCACTTCTCGTCTTGTATTTAAAGTAGGTACAGAAAGAAAAAATGCCAAAGTTCAAGATTCAAGTTTGAAAAATGAACCTAAATTACGAAAATTCTTCCCAGAAACATGGGTTTGGAGCAATATGCTAATTCGGTACATATTTCCATTGCTAATTATTGCCTTTCACTTTTTCAGACAAATAGGCAGAAACTATATCTTCAAGAAACAAATCCTTCGAGTGAAGAAGTTAATTCTGATTAAATACAATTCATAATTATTTAGCCTGACCTACAGTACATTATTCTTCATAAGCAGCATAATTTTACTTAAATTATTACAGAGATTTTATATGACAGTTACAGTAATTTCACGACCCATACTAAAATTTATTGCGCCATTATTATATTGCATATAATGACATAATGAAAAAAATTTCATATACTTCCTGAAAACAAAAAAAAAGGTATAAAATAATGATTTGTTGATCATTTTTGATTTCTTTGATACGATCTCTTTGGTATATTTGGTTCATTGAAACACAATTATTTTTAGCTTGGAGAACCAATGTGTTTGTTTTAAGAAAAGAATTTAATTAGGATGTGATTTGGAATGATTTGATTTCATTGCATTAAGTAATGATATGATTTCAATCAGTGACTATTAGAGATAACTGATCACATATTGTGCAATTTATAGATCTGTTATTTTTTATTTATTCAGTATTTTAGTACTTAATCCTTCTTCAATATCATCGATTTATTGAGATCAAGTGGGATTTTTGCAATGATTAGTTTAAACAGGGTTAAAACAAACCTTGACAAGATGAAATATTAAGGCAAAAGGTCATGACTAAGTCTTTCCATACTGTACGGTAATAGTACAAAGAAAACTCACTAATATACGGTGTCATAATTTGTTGTAGGCAGCTTACTTTTAATTACTTTAACAAGAATTATATTCTAATGAAAACCGAATCATTGACTACTTATTTATACTACTAGTAAACGAAGTAAATATTACAATGGTAATAAACTGAATACAAATGCGTATTAGTTTTATTTTATCATTTTCTTTTGAGATTAATTCACATAATACTTTTGAATGAGAAAAGTTGATACCAATTAAACAAAAATGAACCTAATCTATGAGCTGATCGGTACACTTCCGAAAATGACAAATTTTTCAATAAAATTATCTGCTGAAGACATTCGGTTTTGATTACATATTAATTAAATATATAATCAAAACCATTCGTAATCCAATTACCAAAATGATTTTTTCTTTATATAATTAAATGAAGAGAATAATTTTCTAAGATTTTTGAGACGAATAAGTCATATTAGTTCATATTTGCACTATAATTTAATACCATTACTGTATTTGATATTAATTAGAAATAAAAATTAAAGAATTTTATTATTTAAAAAGTTGTTCTGCAAAAAAATGAAAATTATTTCTTTGTAAGTAAAAAAATGATTGCACATTTCTAACAAAAGAGTAATCAAAAACTGTAAAATTAAAGTGGTAGCAATGAAGTAAGCTTCGAAGCTGTGGTGCCAGATACGATAACTTCTTGGGTCGCTAGTGCTTTTGCTATCAACGATGAAAGTGGCCTTGGAGTAGCCCCAACAACTTCTAAGGTTATTTTTAGTTAATAATTAATTTGGTCAGCTTTTTATTACTTATTTTTATGAACTAAAGAAATTGAAAATCTAATTTTATTTTTTTAAAATTCATAATCAAGTTGTCGTTGCATTATCAAAATTTTGTGAAATAAATATTAGCAGTATTGCCTCTTTTTTTTTTTAAATTTACGACATAAATATTGATAAATCTTAATAAATGAGCGAATAAAATACGAGTTGATTAGCATTAAATTAAAAAAGCAATTCAAATTTGATTTTTGATTTTAGCTAACTGTATTTCGGCCATTTTTCGTTCGCTTAAATTTGCCTTATTCAGTGAAACGGGGTGAAAAGTTTGCTCTTCAGGTCTTAGTATTCAATTACTTAGACAGTGAACAAGATGTAAGTATTTGAATTGATTTGATTCCACAAGCAAAATAATAATTTTTTATATCTTAAGAAAAAATGATAATAATTATGATTGATCATCGTTTTTATCACTGTTACCTTAAAGTTAATAATATTACTAGCGTTGTTTTTATTTTGACATAAATGCTTATATTATTTTTGTTTTCTTTTTCTAAAAATTAAACTTTGTCTAGGTGACAGTAATGCTAAAAGATGGAGATGATATTGGTTACGACTTTTTACAAAAAGATGGTACCACAAGAAAGTCTGTGAGGTACTTATTTATCCAATCATAACCTCTTATTCATTATTAACATTAAAATCGATGTTAAATAGAAGTTAATTTATGAATTTTTTAAAATTTTCTCAATTTTTGCAGCAAAAATGCAAATAAAAAGCATAATATAAGACAGATCTCAGTGCCTGGAGGAGGCATATCAAAGGCTGTCTACTTTCCAATTGTACCAACAAAAATAGGCAACATACTGCTTTTCGTAGAAGCAAGATCAGCAAAAGCAGGCGATGCTGTAGAACAAAAGTTACGAGTTGAGGTAAGTAAAAAAGAATATAAACAAGTAATATGCATAAATATGTGCTATATTGATTGATATTATCAATCAATATAGCACATATTTATGAATTGAAAACTAAAAATTTGATATGTTTTTGTAGCCAGAAGGA